CAGATTTACAGGACACTGTTAACTCTGAGAGAATGACCCAGAGGATATAAAGAAATTTCAGCTGAGGAAATGTTTTATTTTAGTGTCTGGAGGAGTTTTACACCAGGCAGACACTTGCACCCTCACACTGCTGAGAGTTACACCAGCATATTTCTGGCTGTATAGCTAATGAGGTTGCTGGAGTGCAGTTGAAATTCTGGGACTGTAATTGGCTGAAAGTTGGCTGCAAACACCCAGGTTAACACTTCCCCGCTGGAGCTGGGGCTCTGGAGCTGGCAGGGCTCGTTCCCTGGGCTGGGAATGCCACTGTGCCTGGTGTCTGCTCTGGGCAGGTGGCCGGGCACCTTCACAGGCGGAATTTCACAACAGCAGCTTGGTTTTTAAAAGTAGGGGTTATGATTTACAGATCCAAATAGCTTCAGAATGTCTGTGCTCCTCATATTGCTGTGTGTAGTCAGGGGAACTCAGTCTGATTTAACGAGCTGCAAGGGAGGAAGAGGCCCTTGCCTGATTTCCTGGTCCATGTAAAACAGGAGCTTCCTTTGCAGGGCTGGATCCCGTCCTCTTCCCTTCTCCTCCCAACACCTGAAGCTGGGGGGCTTGATGGAAACTGTGATTATGTAAAAAAATATATCAGGAAAGGGCCTTTCTTGTCCCTTTCTCTTCTGTGGACCAGAGGGATGCCAGCTGTTCCCTTGTGACACCCACTCTGGGAACTGCCCATGGGGGGTGTGAGTGGAATTCTCTGATCTCAGGGGTTTTCAGGGCTGAAGTGTTGTGTGCATGATAACTCTGAATTACATTAGAGCATATCATGCAAGTCCCTGCTAGGGCAAGCATCATATACTGCTATTTATTTTCCAAATCAAAAGGGAAGTTAGTTAAAAAGGTGATCTTTTTCCAGGGTAAAAATTATACAGGATTGGTTTAGCAGGACATACTATGGGGAATTGTGCTATATATATATATATACATATACATATATATATATATTCATTCAAGACAGTTTCAAGTCAAATACAAATTATTAAAGTGCATCAAAAGGAGCTGTGAAATTTTATGAATTAAAAAATGGGTAGAAAGATTATAATCTTGAGACAATGGCAGAAACTATTGTCATGATACAGTGATACTGTCCATGGAAGGCTCAGAGAGATTGGAAAAGCTGCCAAAGCAGAAATTAAATTGCAATTATCGGTGTATTGGCTGGGTTTGGGGCTGAAGATAAGATTTAAAATCTTACAAACCTCTGGTATTTGCAGCAAAATAAATAACCTCATCTGAAAAGGCAAAGCAGATCTTGATTAATCCTGCATAGGAGACGGGGCACAATTCAAGATACTGCCATGAGGTTTGTCATCATTTTATTCAAATTCGACCTCCTGGGAGAAGCAATAAATCCAGCACAGCAGAGCATTTAACTTCAAAACCCCCTGTTTAGGAGCCTGCCTAAACATAATTTTAAAGGAACAGCTGAGATTATAATGCTTTGAGGCACAATGGCTCAGGAAGGCCACCAAAAACATCACTAGAAGATGAAGTAAAAAATGTAATAGCAATGGAAGGAAAATTTAATAAAGCATACATTTTGGTTAATCTAAATGTAAAACCACAAGAAAAGCTAAAAAGATTGAGGTATTGACAGTCATAATTAAAAAAAGTAAAGCAAACACTCTGCAAACAAGGCTGTGCCAGCCTGGCACTGCTGGGTTTGAGTTCATGGGTAATCCATGGTAAAGGAATAAACAATAACACAAGTCACATTCAGGGGCAGGAATGTGATAGTGGAAGAGGAAATGCAGGATTTGCCTTGGCACACAGGGGAGGGAAACTTGGGAGGCTCCTGTTCCTGTGGGAAGAGTCTCTGGAACTGTCACAAATGGATGTGTCAGGAGAAGATGGTCAAAACAGTCCATAAAGGAACACAATGACAGGAACAGATGGCAGCATCCTTGGTGAGAAAGGAACTTAAACGTGGGCTATTAACTGTCACTTAAATCAGCCTCAGTGTTAGGAGACAAAAAGGACATTCTTTATGTGCAGGAGAAGGAGAGGTGTCGTGGGAACCACAGGTGTGCCTTCTGTATCTGGATAATAAAGGTTATCAGACACATATATAAACATGATATAGTAGGAAAATAAAACTTTTAAGGGATTCACACCTGACAGATCAGTCAGATTTGTCTGAAGGAGTTAATGGCTGTGTGGATAAGGGTGCTCTACTCGATACATTGTGTACATGAATTTTTTCAGAGAGCTTTGAGCAAGGTCCCTTGAAAAGAACAACGCATTTTATTTGTAGTATGAAATGGATTAGTAACTTGCTGGTAGATGGGAAACAGAAGGGAAGAAGAAAGGTCTTCATTTGCATTGAGGGAGCTTTCAAAGAGTCAAACAGATCGATTTTTGGATTTGTGCTGGTCACTGGATTTGTAGCCTTTTCCCCCACCTGCTGTGGCAGTTCCCAGGTGTCCACTTCCAGACCTGGGCATGAGACTTGGAAAATGTCTTTGGGCAGGATGATGTTAATTTTGAAGCATATTTTCTCTTGGAATGAACTGGCAACCTGAAGCTATTTTAAATTACCTCTTTGTTTGTGGGCAGAGGGTGAACTGCTTCCCACCATTTCGGGGAATGAGCAGCTCTGAATTCCTGGGGTGGATGCTCTTGTCCTGCACTCATCCGGTGTGTTTGTCTGTGCCAGGGACAGACACAGCCATGCTTCCTGCAGTGCCATTGACCCATGGAGATCTCCAGAAAGCTTTCCTTATTGGAGCAGCCAAACTTCCAGTCCTGGTAGGGTGTGAGGGGGCAGAGCTGGGCAGTCAAATATGGCATACAAGCTCCTTACCTGCTCCCTGGCTGTGTAACCACTGCAGAATCAGCAGTGTCACCGTCTGCTGTCACCTCCTGGTGCTGGAAATGGGAATGTTGGTGACAAACTCTGTGTTAAAGCATGAAAAATTATTTTTAGCTTTCCACCTGCAATAAAACATCAAGTTTGAGGCTGGTGGGTTGAATGTTTTCTGACACATTAATGAACAGCCTCGTCGACAGAAGGATTGTGTTGCTATTAATAGATCTGTACCTCTGTCTCAGGAAGTTTTAGGCACCTTTGTGGTCTCCTCTGAGAGGAAGACTTGAACACACAGACGTGTTTTCTGGCTTTCAGTGTCTGTCCTTGGGTTTTCAGCAGCATGTTGAACAGGATTGTAAGGGCTCTTGGTTATCAGCAATGTCTTCTTTGTACAGTTTTCTGTACAAAAAATATTCATTACTAAAATATGCTTTGATATAGGATTAAAAAAAAACCCAAACATCTTTTAGCATTCATTCTTGACCACTTCAGCCACTGAATCTTACAGTCCAGTTTTACTTTATTGCCATAACACACTCCCTTGCCTTTCTTTTTCACTCCTTTTCGCCTTTAAAAAAAATCAGAAAATGGAAAGGATTTGATTTTTAGGTGAAGATGTGTCTAGTGTTTGAAAGTTATCCAGTGTAGCAGATTCCCAGGAAAAAAGTCCTGGAAAAAGGTGTATTTGCTGTGTTGAATTCTGTGCAATATAAATCCTTTGTCCTGGGGACTGTGGCCAGTTTTAATGACAAATTCTGTGGGACTTTCTCCCTCTGTGACTTGCTGTTTGCTTGCCAGGCTCATCCCAGCCTTTCTCCTTTTCCATGCTGTGGCTGTCTCACTCCATCCCTCTCTGCACGAGGAGGGAAAATAAACCAGGCACAAACATTCTTCTTCCTGGAGGTGTTATTGCCCATAACTCACACAAAACCACCTCCAGCTTTCGATAGTCTGAACCTGCAAGGAAACGACTGACCTTGGAGAACGATTCCTAACAATGGATTTGTGGGAATTTTTCTCAGTATTCAGAGCCACTTGATTTTTTTCTCTCTATTGAAAAGTTGCCAGTTAATCCTGTAACATTTCCTGCTCACCTGGCTCCCTGCTGTGAAGCAGTGTGGCTGGACATAGAGAGAATTAAATTTGGGATTGGGGAAGCTCAGTGTTAAGTGAGGGAGACTCCAGCAGTGTCAAACCAAAGGAAGTGTTCTCTGCAGTGACAAACATGTACAACCACTGTGGGTGAGCTGTTGCATTTTGTATTTCAGTTACTTATTAGAATTGTTTCCCTTGCTTGCTGAGGGCTCAATTCCCTGTCCCCCCTTCATGGTGATGTGCTCCCAGTGCTGGTTAAGCAGGGGAAAAAACCTGATGGTACACACTGAAATTTGCTATTAAACCATATGACTAATTTTAGGTTTGAAATAGTCTTTTTTTCCCCCCTCTTTTGTAGCATAAGAGGCTTATTTTACCTGACTTCAGGCTTCCCACACAAAGCTAAGTGAGCACAGTGTGGAACAGCTTATTTTAAGGTGGAAAAAGTCATTAGCTGTCTCCTGCTGAGATCTTCTATTGAGAAAACCAAATTATAACCCACTGAAGTTTAGCATGAAGGAGAGGTAAATTATTGTTTATGATTTTACAGTTTCCTGCTTGGAGCTCTCAGGCTTGTTAGCTGAGCAAGGTACATGACCTTTTGGGGTGGTCAGGGATGGGGCAGGAGCTGAACTGGAAGAAGGAACTTGTTAGAACACTTAAATTAAGCACTGGTTTCTCATTTCCTTGCAGCAACTGAACATCCTTAGCAGAAATACCTTGCAGGCAGTTTTAGACTGAGAACACAAAATGCCAAGTGTTTCAGGGTCTCTGGAAAGATCTGTGCCTGCCTGAGCAAATGAGATGTTCTGTGGGGCCTGAGGAAATAGCTCAGGATGCAGTTTGGAGGATGATATCCCACTACAAGTAATGGCTCTTCATTGTTTTTTTACAAACTCTCTCTAGTTATAAATGTTTCAGGCCTTCAGGGAATATTTCCTAGGAGTAGTTTCTGCAGATTTTATTAGGTTAAATGTATATTTGTCCAGCACAGCAGAGGTGGGTAGATAGAAAAGGATGTTCAAAAAAAGGACTTGTGGCTCTTGAAAAGTTTTCACCTAAGAGGGAGGGGTTTTATTCATAATTTCCAAGTCAGGCTGGAACCATGAATTGTTCCACTGTCCCTCGGTCCATTGATAATTCTGTGGTGAGTGAGGGTTCCTCACTCCTCTGATGGCCGAGCTCAAAATCTGGTGATTTGCCTTCCAGAGCCTCTGCTTTTGTTCCCACCATGTTGCAGGGGGAGGGTGCAAGTCCTGTGTGGCTTTTCCAGACCTGCCTGTCTGTCCCGGTGCAGAGGAGGGGGAGATCCCTCTTGGAAAGGGGTGGTGTAGGATGATGGGTCTGTGAAGAGAATCAGAGGATGGGTTGGAAGGACCTTAAAGCCCATCCAGTGCCACCTCATGCCATGGGGAGGGACACCTTCCACTAGACCAGGTTGTTCTAAGCCCTGTCCAACCTGGCCCTGAAGCAACATGAGGGAATTTGGGAACCTGTTTCCTGTTGGCAGCTGTTGGAAACGAAGATTCCAATACAGATAAATCTATAGTTGAAACCCTATTTTTAAAATGACATTAAATTCATCTCTGTGTGTTTAGTGGTGGGAGGATGGGGCAGGTATTTCATCTGTTAAAGACAGGCAGATGCATCTCAAGTTGGAAAAACAGCAGAGCATCACTTTCTGTTGGATCATCCTCGTTATTTAAATGGAAAACATCAGCTTGTGTTAACAAGGGGTTTGGCCAAGACTTTGTGCCTTGGACAGCAGTGAGAGACTATAACCAGGAAACTGTAATACACAGCAAATATATTTTCATAATCTAAATTCTTGGCTTCTTTAACTGTAACCTGAATATGTGCAGTCTATAATTACAATGCCTTCTAAGCATTCCTTAACAAGCCATTTTTTTGAGCAGTCACTAGAGCAGCAATTGGTGATAAAAACGAGGGCATTAGCACTCAGACCACAGGAACAGCATCATTAAAATGCAACTTCTGAGGTGCACTACTTTAAATTTGCCTCATTATGTGTGCAATTAGGGAACAAACAATAAAATGACCATCATTTTTCTGCAATTTCTTATCCTAACTGCCTTTTTCAAAGCTTAATTAATGTTAAAAAAAGGAAAGGAGAAGGTGGTGGGCTGAGCCCGAGCTTAACAAGCAGAACCATCCTGTAGAGATGGATGAGCTCTGCCTGTGCTCAGCCCTGCGAGTCCCTGGCTGTGGCAGGAAAAAATGGGGTCCTGCATTTTGGAATGGGCTGGTGCAGTAAGGAGGGAGTGATCCTGCCCCCACGGAAGGAAACAGCAGCATTCCCACTCCTCCAGGGAACCAGGAGCAGACCTCTGGAGTTAGCATTTCATTCTGCTCAGAGGAGATGTTAATTAAGATAGTGATGAGGCTGTAGGTCTGATTGTAATGTATATACACTGCTGTGGGTGTCTCCATCCGTAATCCATCATTTGGGTCCATCCAGACACATCCATCACCTGTGGGCTTGGCTCTAACAAAAACCAGCAGGGAGGGGCACTCTGGAGCCAGAGCTGTTCCTGCAGCAATAAATGGTGAAAGTGTCTGTCTTTTCATCCATATCTGCTAATCCTCTCCAATATTCATTTGGAATACCATTGTAGATGTTCCATTATAGATATTTTGATGTTATTTATTGCTGGTAACTCTCATTTCAATAGATATTGGGTATTACGTGGCTTTGAGAGCTTTCCTTCCCAGTTGAAAGAATTGACCTGTTGTCTCACTGGTGGGAGAGGTAGAAAGGGCCAATTTGGGGAATAAGAGAGAAACTTCCACAAAATCCTGACCATCCTTCTGATGTACTAAGATTTTGTTTCCTTAAATGCAGTAATTCCAAACTCCCAGTGTGGTTCTCCTCACTGAGTGGAGAGGTCTGTTCAGGTGCACAGAGCTGAGCTGTCACTGGACAAAGCTGGGTTACCTGGAGCATCCTGGGGGTCTCACAAGGAGAAATCCCCTGGGAGGTGGGACATTACTTCAGAGCTTTACCAGGAAATCCTAAGCTGTGAAGATCAATGAGGAGTGGTGTGAAATAAGATCGGGTTTAATGCCAGTTTTAGCTAAGCAGTTGTCACTGACATTTTGGGATGAGCTTAGAGATTTCAGAAATACCGAGGCTCAACCTTACAGGTCATGTCTAAGAACGTTCTGCCAGTCTGCAGGAAAGCCAGACCTTCCAGGACCATGTTATTTGGGGGGATGCCACTGCAGAGGCTCTGCCCACCTGTGCCTGGTGGTGCTGCAGCTCAGGGTGGCTCAGGAAATCCTGTGGAATGGTTTGGGAAAGGAAGCAAATGGTACTGAGTTAGCTGGAACCACAGAAAGGAATTGGAAGTAGAGGACAAATACCCAAGGTAAAATTGGGCCCTAAGATGGTCGACACTGCTGATGGAAAAGGCCCGAGGAAGCTGGAAATACTTGAGAAATGCTCTCTGTGTAATTCAAGAGGTGACTGAGGGACATTATTTTGGAGTGATGGAGAAACTGAGGTGATTCCTTTGCAGATAAGGAGGTAAATTTATTTTTGCAGCTAGTCATGTTTCCGGGAGATCTTTATCTATAATTGTGTTTGTCTGCAGTGTGCAGATGGATGGGAACTGGTCCTGCTGCGCTGGGAGAAGGGATGACTGACACACTGAGTTTTCAGGTGTTGCCTTCAGGAATCCCCCTCCCCAGAGCAAATAAGAAATAAGAGATTTTAAACAAATAGGTGAGTTTGCAAATGCAGCATAAAGGGCAGCTTGGGAGTATCAAGCAGCTGTGCAGTGGGGATATTGTGAGATATTTTCTGTACCTTAGTTAGATATCCAGATATATCTACATCTATAGGAATAACTGTCTTAAGGCTCCTTTATAACCCCTAAAGTACAGAATGAGGACAGTGAAGAAGGAGCCATTAAAATTGCAGACAAAAATCCCTGCTTGTCATGGAAAGGGTTCGATAATTTTGCTTGTTTGCTAAAGGGAAAAAAGCCCCAACAAACGGATGTAGGCTCAGGTACTGACTTTAAATTAGCTCAACTTGCTGATGCCTTAAGACTGGGGATTAGTGAATTTAATTATGGGGAGCCAGGAAGCACATTAAGATAACATTGGGCCTTAAACGAAAACCCACAAAGCAACGAAATTAAAGTGGGTGGTTTGTGTTCCATCTTCACAATGTCCTTTTCTTCCTGCTCTGTGTCACAGGAGGCCACTCCTGCACCTCGGTATAAGCTTTTGGGTCCCTTGTTTTTAATGACTGAGTGACCTTTATGAGCTTGCTCTCCTTGCCTGTCATGGTGTCCAGGGCTCAGCTCTGCTTTGCCCAGTAATGATGCAGCTGCCGTGGTCAGGCAGGGCAGGTCAGCTGGTCATCACAGTCCAGGTCACAGCCCTGACCTCAGTGCTTTTGTGAGGGCTCCAGCAAACAGTATTTGGCTTTTCTGGTGGAGACAGGTAGTTAGTGTAATGCTGATAGAGTGTCTGAGGAAAATCGGATTTTATTCCTGCTTTGCTTCTACCTTCCTGTTCAGCCTGGTCTGCTGTTCATTACTGGGGTTTGTGTCTGGACTTTGTATTTACTTTATATTTTTTAAGAGAGAGACTCAAGATTAAACCACTTTAAGACCACTTGTACAAAAAGTTCTGAGTCTGTTTGCTGATGAATTATGCAATATTGACCTTTCTCTGACACAGGATGATGATTTTTTCTTGCTGGTATGGAAATCACAGACCCCTCACCACACATTTAGAGGCTTCTAAGTCTTACAAGGCTTTTGGTTGAGTTGTGACATGAGAAATCAGAGACTTAAATTGAAACTTGGTACTGTCCCACCTTCTGGTAACACAGGAAATGGTACATTACTCTGATATATCTGACTTCTGGGTTATTCCAGAACCTCACAAATATGTTCAGAGACAATATTAATCCTTTAGTCTTCCAAAGAGAAATAATTTTAAAACCTCCTATCCCCACATTGCTAAAGTTGCCTCTTTATTCCCTGCTTAGCATCCATCTGTTCTTGTTTGTGTCCATTTTAAAGAACTTGTTATTCCAATAAACAGTTTATTTCCTTTCTCGTTGATGTCTTTTCAAGGACCTCATGGTCACTACATGATATGCAACTTTCTTCCCTTAGTATGCAAATTTATTCTGTGTTTTCACAGAGTATTTCAGGGTAATTCACTTGATTTTTGTTTTATTTTGTTCCAGATAATTAAAAAGTGTGGAATGGCTTAGTAGTTAAGGTGGATGTGACAAAAACACTTGGGTCATTCAAAAAACTAATTAGTGAGCCTGGCAGGGAGTGTAGGAGAGAGAGAGAGGATCATCCCATGCTGGGCCAAATGGCTTTGATCCATCCTGGAATCACTGCTGATCCTCCCCCTCAGTACTGAACAGGGCAGTCACAGACTGAGCTTGCTGTGCTCCAGGCTTGGTTTGAGATGCTCAGAGTCCAGGACAGTGGAATTTTGACACTACAGACACCCCCTTGCACTGTGCTGGTGGCTGTTTCAGGATTTGGTTTGAGCTGTAAGCCTTGGAATTCTGCTAGTGAAAAGTCTGGCCGATGAATCCTAGAATCCCAGAATGGTTTGGGCTGGAAGGGACCTTGAAGCTCATCTCATTCCGTCTCCTGCCATGGGCAGGGACACCTTCCACCAGGTTGCTCCAAGTCTGTTTTCCTACTTCTCTGTGGGTTTGTTGGGAATCATCCCATGTACCAGAAATCCTTCAAATCTGCTTCCCTAACTTAGTCTTCCCATACATGTCTCTTCTAATAAGGCCCATTCTAGAGCAGGTCTTCCAGCTTTCCTTTTCCTGTATGAATTCTGAGATGGGAAGCTGTTGCTGCTTTTGCCTCATCTGTGAAGCCCAAGGCTGACTTTGGACAGTCTTGTCCCAGTTGTTTATCCCATCCTGCTCAGTGCCCTTCTGTGCTTCCCTGCCTGTTCGGAGCTGGATGGAGGTGGGAGATCCCCTGCTGATGTCTCAGCAGCAGCTCCCACAGAGGGTGCCTGAGGAATTCAGGACAGGGCAGCACCTCTGGCTGTGTCTCCAAACACCTTCCCAGCCTCCAGCAGCTTGGAGCTCTTCCCCCCTTCCCCCCATGGATGCCCTCCTGGGAGCCAGGGTGGGGACCTGCCTGTCACCTCCAGTGGCAGCAAAGGCAGCTGCTCCTCCTGGGTGTGCAGAACCCCCCATCTCCCAGTGCTCCCCAGTGCAGTGCCTCTGCTGTCCTTCCCTGGCTGCAGGGGCCTGAGAACCCCCTGCTCAGCCTTCTGGCTTCACTTTGAGGGGGTTATTTATTGATCTGCTTTTGGCACTTGGGAAAATGCCAATTTTCAGCATTAGCTGCTGGCCTCGTTTTATTGCAGCCTTATAAAACTTTTATTGTCCCTCTTCGATGCTGAGGATCTGTAAATGTTTCTCCTAGAATGGTTTGGATGTTTTGATATTTTCTGCCTTTAACCCTTAAAACTCCTGTTGTGAGAGATTCCCTCTCCCATCCTTCTTGCAGCATTTGAAAAGGGAATCTTTTAAAGCCTGTCTGGAACAGTGGGATGGAGGGCAGGAGAGGCAAGAGGACATTCAGAATTCCTGAATTGTTAATAAGTTAATAATAAACAAGTAACAGCTGCCCAAAAATTCTTAGCTAACTCTTGTTTTGTAAACTACTGCAATACAACATGTTTTAGAAAGTAAAGTTTTTTCCTATGAATATATAGATGCTAATTAACCTTGTAGTGAGGAGAGAAAGGTGCAGGAGAACATCTGGCCTGGGAATTGTTTTCCTGCCACAGAAGTGTTGGAAAGCACTCCAGGGTTTCTTGTGCCACCTGGAGAACGGGAGGCAGATGTGGGGAGAGTGGCAGAGCCTGTTCCCAGTCAATCTTGCTGGGATGTTACTGTGCCACTGCCTCGTGCAGGGGCTGGGGATTGATAAAGGGAATCTGCACAGAATGGTTTAATAAGCTCTGCTGACCCTTATTACTGTAAACAGGTTTGTTCTTAAGGAATCTTGGAAGAATTTCAGCAGGGCTGGGACACCACTCAACAGTTTAGAGGAGAACTATGAGATTTGTGATTAGTTAAATACCTTGTCATTACGTAGTCCAGCTATTCTGTATCTGTTTTTTTATTATTTCGTCCTCATTTACCTTTTTGTTGTGTTCTTGTTACCCAGTTATACTGATTAATCCCTGTTCCAGTGAAACACTCCCAGCAGAGCTGTGTAGAATGTCTGGTCATACTGCTGCCAACTTCTCTGTGTTTGGCCTGACCCGTTCCTTGATGAAACTAAACATTGATAATTTTAAGCCCAGAGAAAGCTGTGGTGATAATGGTGTGTGACCTCAGTGTCACAAAAGCCTTTACCTTTTGCTGGGTGAAATAATTGCTTTGTTTGTGTCCTGTTGGAAAACTGCCACATTGTATGGATCAAAAATTACCAGTAAAGAAATAGAAAATCAAGGGCTTGAAAACACCTCTTTAGGTAATGTAAGCTGTTGTTCATCATTTAACTTTGGACTTGAGTTTCCTCTCATTATATATGGAATAGCTGACTTTCATAATCTCAAATGGGGTAATAAAAGAATAATCAGTTGGCAAGAGCATAAACCATGGGAGACAGAAGTAGGTTGTGACAATGTTGAGAGGAAACGTTAATTTATTTCTGATAGTGACTGACAACTGTTTGTACCCTGTTACAAGGCTCTGGTGCCAGTTTAAGTTACAGAGTTTGGTTTAGCTCCATGTAGATAACAGACACACCTGGCTGCAATATCCAGGAATTCTACATCATGTGGCTCATCCCAAAGAGTCAAAGAAATTAATAAATACCCTCACCCACATCCTCTGTGCACTTGTACTGGAGATAATACAGATGACTTTCCCTTTAATAAGTGATGTAACTATTATTTGTGGTGAGTTGTGTCTGCTATTAAAATCCCAACTAATTGAGTGTAATAGCAGGGAGCAGAGTGAGCCAGCAGATTCTGTGCCCATTCCTCTGTCTTGTGATGCTTCCTATTTCTCCTGGAGAGAAATGAGAATTAACTGTTGGGTTTCATTTGGGTTTTGCTGTTCAAGGACGGAACAGCCCCAGCAGCACTTTGGGACAGCAGGGTTTGGGCTTGATTTTTGTTTTAGGCATTTCCTTTATCTCCAACCCTTGCAGTCCTGCAGAAATGGCTCTGGAATGCTTTGTGTAGGAAATCCTGGCACCAGATCTAACATCAGCCTGTTCATTACTCACCTTCATGGCAGTGATCAGGGAGCCCCGGAGCAGAGGGGTTTGTGTGATGCACAGCAGCACATTCCAGCTGGGTCCAAGCAGATGGGAGCAGCAAACAATGAGCAGGGACAAGGATTGCATGTCCTGTGTTCCTTGTAATCCATCTGAGTGCTGAGTTGCTGTGTGCATGTACAGAATCAGTCCTCATCTCGTTTTAGGAGCACAGTTTGTTTTATGTTTGGTGTCTCTGCAGCCTTTGGCTTGTCCCCTGTGGCAGGAGGAATATAATGAATTTTTTTATGGAGCTCTGTTTGCTTTTGTGTATTTCCTTGCAGCAATTAAGTGTTTTAATTTCTTATCTCCTAAGTAGTTGTTTCTGGTCTTAGTTCTTCCTGTCTAATCCAAGCTGCTTTGCTGCAAATGTTATCTCTGCTATTCATAGGCAAGAAAAGGGTTTCACTGGCACCGTGATAAAGGGCCAAAGATCAAACTACTTAATTCAGTCTTGCATCTTGTTACACCAGGATCAGGTAAAACTCAGTTATCATGGCCAGTGCTGCTGGATGTCCAGGAGTCACTGCCCTAAAGTTTGGGTTGATTCTCACACAGGGACTCCAAAATTCTTGTGGCTTCCAGAGCTGCTTGTTAGAGGTTGAATAATTGAAGTTCATTGGTGCTAATCGAGGTCAAGAGAAAAGAATTCTCACTCTGTGGATTGAAAGCAGCAAAATGTTAGAGTTGGAAAGAAAAATCATGGCCAGAGAAGAACCCAAAACCCAACATGAATTAGAGGTAGTGTCTGTTGGCAACTGCACTGAGTGGGCAGGCACTGGAATGAGGTGCCCAGGGAGGTGATGGAGTCCCTGGAAATGTTCAAGGAGTGTCTGGATGTGGCATTTGGGGCCATGGCTTAGGGGTGATGATGGTGCTGCTGGTTTGATGCTTGGTCTCGATAATCTTGAAGGTCTCTTCCAACCCTGAGGGTTCTGTGATAATGATACAAAAGCTCTATTTGCCCATATCCATCCAACTGGACAAAGCAGCTCCCCTGAGCTGTGCCCACCAGAGCTGGTGGGGGGCTGTGCTGAGGGGGCTCCTCTGGACATGTCTCTTCTCTGACTGCCATGAAAGCAGTCAGGGGGGGTTGGAAAGCCAGGGATGGACACCATGGACTGAGGCACGTTCAGGGCTCTGGGTCAGGCCTTACCCTGTGACAAGGGCAGGGGCCTGAGGTGACAGTGTCACAGCAATTGTGTCTGTCCAAGGGTGTGCTCTGTTCTGTGCAGAGTGCAGGGCACAGGAATCCAGCTGATAAACGAGCATGAGTTATTCAGAATCTGTTAATTCTCCATTTTGGTGGTACAAAGTGAAGAATATTGCACAACGGGACCAAATATTCATACAGATAAGATCTTAAATTGTTTTTCTCCTTATGCCACCTGTTCTAGTAGCTAAACTAATACAGAATTTGATCTTGTATTATTACTTGGAAATGGAAACAAATGAAACAGCTGTGGAGCAGCATTTTCAGTCTGTGCCACCCCTTCCTGTCAGGTCTCTGTTAGCCCTGAGCAGTGGCACTGCAGGCAGGGCTGCTGCTCCTCATGTCTGTGGGTAAATGTGTGCCTTGGAGCTCATTGATCCTGGGAAAGGGTAATAGAACTGAGGCTGTGCCTATTCCTGGGACTATTTACTTGTCTTGAGTTTGCAGAGGCTGATGGAGCCCGAAGATAAACAGTGTAATATTTCCAGCACAAGTATTGGATGCTTAAATCTTGTGTTCTTTACTCTCTGAGATGTTCATATTCTGTAAAGAAAATATGGTAGATGGGGTAACCAACATGTGGAACAACCTGTTCAGTCAGTTCCACTGATTTTCCTGGGATGGAATTACCCTTTCTCCCAGTACTGTGTGAGCCTCCCCTGCGTGTGACTCCCACATACCAACCTGGGGTTATCACATTAAGGTGCAGAATTACTGTCAGAATAATTTCATTTTGAAATAAGACATTTATGGTCACTTAGAAAAATCAAGACAGTTCCTTGCACCGAGGGCTTCCTGCAGGTTTCAGTGTGGATTTAATTGCCAGTATGACAATTCTCATGTCACTTGTTGACTTGCTGTTCCCTTCCTGACTCAGCACATTGGCAGCTGCTGCCTGTTCCACTGGGTGCAAAGTTATTGAAAGGTTGATGTTGGAAAAACACCCCAAACGTACAACTGTGTGCGACTGCTGAGCACTGAAGCATAGCATTTATCCCTCATTAGATTATATGTAATTTTCTGGATGTGTTGCCTGAGCATTCAGGTGCTGAATGTGCTTGGCTGTGTGCTGGGCACACAGAGGCACATCCCTGCTGCTGCTGGGGCCCTCACAGGAGTGAGGGATGAGAAGATCCCTTTAGGATGTGGAGTTTTTCAGCTCTAATACAGATGATCTGGAATTGTTTCATGGAATGAACCATTCTGACTCGTCTGCATCTCTGGTTTTAACATTTTTTTTTCCACTACCAGTGCACTAAAAATGAGAAAATGTCTTTCTCATTTTCCCTTTTTTTGTGACAGGGGTTCTATTTAATATTCCTCTTATAAATGATTTAATGGAGAAAGTCATCTCATTGCAGAGAAAGAAGATCTTCCCATAACTTCATTGAATAAAGGTCAGGGATTGATATTGTTAATGGAAAAGAGAAAGGAATTGTAAAATCGAGAAAGGAACTGTAAAATCCTTTTCCAAAAGGAAAGGTTTAAACTACTTATTATCATTGCCAGGTATTTGGAAGAGCTTTCCTCCATTTGTCTGTCTCTGATTCTGTTCTTTTCCTACATATTTACATGCAGGGCTGTGTCACTGACCCCTTGTCATGTTAAACTTCCCTGAGTCCTCTGACTCCTGCGATGGGAGTGGTTTGTATCCTGGGAAAAGGACTCCAGTGCCATCTGGAATGGCTCACAGACCTTGTTAGAATGTGCCCAATTTTTATCTGTCACAGGAAGTTACAGGAACAGTGGTTTCTAAGCGCTGACGGGAATAATTTGAATTCCAGTGGGCACAGCAGAGACATTTTTCAAAGAGTGGGATGTTCAGGGCTGGCTGAGGTGTGGGCTGAGCTCAGCAGGACGTGGGGAAGGTTCAGGTGTCAAAGAGCTGCAGAACAGAAGCCCTTGGACAAGGGCAGCAGTTGAGAAAGTGCCTTTAATGTACTTTTCATCTCCCTCAAATTTGGACTGTTTTATTCCCCTGCCATCCCATGTTCCCTGGAGCATTGGGAACCGTATTTATGGTCCATGGGCTGTCCATGGTGCTGCAGAGCTCGTGTTCCTGCACCTTTGGGACCTGTCCCAGCACAGCCCTTCAGCCCAAATCCTGGAATTAATCCCCATTTACCACGTGAGCACTTAACATACTATTGGTACTGCAATTAATGTGAAAAGTAATTTGTTAGAAAAATTTCTGAATGATCTTTAGGACAAGATGATGGATGATTACAGGTGATTATTTTTATTGAACAGTATTAAATTGTAAATTATTGAACAGTGTTAAATTGTGGAAATACTGATCCTGTTCTACCTGTTCACCAGTCTGTGCACCTTGTTATGGACCAGCTCAATGAGAAGGGGAAAAGTAGAGTGTGTTTAAGGGATTTTGGGCACTGCATGTTTAATATGAAGAATATACCTAAGAAAAACCTTAGTTCAGTTATTAATTTCAACTGAGAATCCAAGCCAGTAATCCAGTAGAACCACAAATACTGGATTTGGAAGTAACAGTTTCCGTAATCCATATTCTTGATCAACCTATTTCTTAGAAAATCATCTAATTTTAAGAGCAAAATGACATTAAAAAGCCTCATTTCACTGCCAGTTTTCCTTTGCTGCCTCACTCATAGTGTGCTGTTGCTTTCCAACAGAAAATTGTTTTGACAGTGTCAAATACCGGGGTTGGTGCTGGAGTTAAATCGGATTTTAATTCCTCCCTGTGCTGAAAGCAAGCAGATCTGTTTGTTCACCAGCCACTTAGCAAATGACCTTGAGCAAGGCAGCAGCGAGGGCTGCACTTCCTCAGGAGTTGGCTCTAATTAGGAGGATTTTATTCTGTGCCGTGTTGCCTTGCGGGGCCTCCAAGCAGGAGGCTGGAAAAACACATTGGTTGGGCTCTGTGTGTGTGAGGAACACCAGGATCTCAGGGATAAAGGAGCTCTCCCCGACCTCGGCCACCCGCTTGAACAGGAGCACAGAGACAGTTTTCCTGCCGTAGGTTACATCCCAGAGTTCCCACGGAGCTGGGAGAGGGGTGGGAGCATCTCCAGGTAGCTGTGGGGCTGGTGAGGATGTCTCCATGTGGGAATCAAGGCAAACACCTGTGGTGGGCTCATTCCCAAGGTTTGTTGGTGCTCCACAGCTCCTGGTTTTCTCTTTCCCCACCCAACACACCTCAGAGAGGAACTGCTCCAGAGGAACTCACGGCACACGTGGGCTGAGGAGAGAGATCCATCCCCAGTGTAACCCCGGAGGAGACCGGTGCTGTCACAAACACACTGATGGTGTGAGGGTCAGGCAGTTTTGGGGAAGTAGGTGAAGGAGGCCTTGAGCTGATCCTGCCAGTGTTCAGTTCTTTGGAAGCAAAGCCAGAGCACACAGGGCTTGCCTGTTTTAAACCATGGGATTTAATGGAGCCTGCAGGACTTGGATCATGGTGCCTGGAATATCTGCACAGCAATGGGGCTTGACTGCATCAAGTTACAGAAATGTCCTAAAATTCCAAGGAGCATTGGTGGGGCATGACTTTGGTAATCCTGGGAATATTCTGAGCCATGATGTGTGAGGCTGTTTTGGAGACTGGGAGTCCAGGACCAGGTTATTGGCTGCTTGCAGCAGCAGGTGAGGGCACAGTCCAGTCCTCTGTCCTTAATGCAGGGAGTTAATCTGGATTTATGGATACCCTGTGCTGGATCGAGGCCAACATACCCTACTCTTTGTTAATTAAATTCCCCAGGTTTGTATTCCATGGAAATGTAATCCATTCCCAATAAGGACAGTCGGTTTTTTTACCATCACTGGCCAGTCCAACCTCTCCTCTCTCTTCTATTAAGCACCAAACATGAAAATATGGGCAAAAAGTACTGAAATAGGTGAGAGGCTTAGTCTGGTCTTAATGTACAGTAACATGTCTCAGTTTTTGTGCTTTATAAACCAAGAGATTTGCCAGAAACTTGTTAGATCCTCTGCAGGTACCAAGCTGGAAGGGACTTATGTCCAAATT